TTTTGTGAAATTAGTTTGTAGCTATTGTGAAATCAGCAAGTAGTTTTATGTTAACCTTTGACACGTTCTCCATCTCCTATTTCAATAAATATTTACAAGAGTCTGTCTGTCTAGCTATGTCTCGTTGTTTTTGTCATTGCTGTAGGTAAGAGACACATTTCTGGGGTCCAATCAAAGAAGCCTTCCTCTTATGGATCAGATCAACGTCAAACTGAACTTAGATCGATAAGAAAGCCCCTTTCCCCTCTATATTCTTCATTTTCATCCAATGCCAACTATGCTAATCTTCAAGACGAGAAGAATAGAAACCAAGAATTAGTGGATACACTTCCCAGCAACAAAGCTGACATGGTAACGCCAAATAAGAGGATTCCTGCTTTTGAAGGGAATGAGACCCCAAAATGTATGCCGATTCCAATGCCATTGACTCCTTCAACAGTATCCAGTACCATGCGCATGGCCATGACCCCTGCTACACCTTGTGTTCCTCCTGGTAATGGAGGCATAGAATATTCTTTTGAAGAGAGAAGAGCTGGCTTTATCCTTCCAAAGTCTCAATGTGACATTCAAGGTCAATATTAGTCATATGAACTACTGTCAATATTAGTCATATGAACTACTGGAATTGAATATTTGGAACCTTTTGTTCTAGCCTTCTGATGGTATCTTCTGAGTGTCCGTGCTGTTCAGTGGTGAAGGCAATTGTTTTTTGCTGGATTCCATGAAGTTAAACTTCAGTTTCTCACCGGCCATTAATTTTAGGCTTGGATTAAGGGTTAATCTTTAGCTCTTCTCAATTAGATAGTCACCTGTATAAAAACTGCATTCATCCCCTTGCTTGCTTCCTGGTGTAGATAGTCTACTTGACATGTGTGATTCAGCATGACAAGATGTGGAACTTTTGCAGTTTGAAAGAGAAACAACATCCCTCTGTTAGAATGGCAATATTTTACATTCATGTTTTTCGCAACTTTTGACAGGATTGACACATGCTTTGAGTTGTACACTTTTAAGTAGCCTTTGATTGTCTATAACTAGATTGAGGCATTCTTGTCTGATCACCATAGCACAAGCGAGACCCCAATTCTAATTTGAAACCTTTAAGGTGTATTTTAGTTTTTCTTTTTGGTTCTATAGAAAGACAAGCTGGATAATATGAAACTGGTTTTGTTCATTTTTTTTGAGGATAAAATAAAGCTGGACAACAGGGTATGTTCATGCAAATAGAACCAAGTATTTATAACTGGAGTCAGGACTAGGACGCTTAAAATGTTGGTCAGGATCCTTCGCTTGTATTAGACTATTAGTCTAAACATTAGATAGGATCGCAGGACTGTAGTCTAAAGATAAGATGACTAATTAAACTTCGGACACATATCTCAAGTCAAGGTTAAGCTTAACCACCTTAGGATTGTTAATTTTGTTCTCAAAGTCAAGCTAAAGGTTCCTTAGATTTGAAGTTAGGTTTTTGATGATAATGGCAGCTCTAAATCCAATAATATAACCAACGTGTCCACTTTAACAGAGGATCCAAAATATACATTTTATTACAAAAGTAAAAGTGTTATATACATTTTAATATTTTATAACTATATAACATTTGTAAAATTTACTCTAGTCTAATTTATGGAAAGGTCAGAGAGAGAGAGGAAGCTGACAGAGAATCCCGTCGAAGGAAGGCATTTGAACTCTAGTCTAATTTATGGAAAGGTCAGAGAGAGAGGAAGCTGACAGAGAATCCCGTCGAAGGAAGACATTTGAAATGACAGTCACAATTAAGTGACAATTATACGGTGGGAGACAAAGATTGAATCCTTGACTTCCCACTCCCACCAAGATTTTAATATTTTGATGGTGACTAATAACCCAAAAGACTACTGTACCCAAGTATCAAATGCTAAGTAAAATTCTGTAACATATTTATAATCACAGGCTAATGCAGTCAGAAGACTTTCGGGCAAAATAGAGTGGATTTAATCTTACATGTCACTTAAATCTTATTAACACTTTTAATAGAACTATGGACTCTAACACTTTAGGCTGTACTCGTAGTTGCAAAGACATCTGGAAAACGAAATAGCACTACTAATCTTCCAATACTTTTAGTTCATTTTTAAAAAATTTTTTGGTTTGGCTTGCTCCACAAAAAAAAAAAAAAAAAAAAACCATGAACAATCATTTTCTTATTCTGTGGAATAAAGCTTAAAAATATTACTGGTAGTTTTCTCAAAAAAAAAAAAAAAAAACTTAAATTATGGGAGCCAAAGATTATATAAGAAAGTGACGATTGCGTGGGGATCGCGCTGTCAGACGCTTCTTTAAGGATGGGTCCATAGACGGGTACTTTCCAGTTTGGAGTTTGACTAAGGATCAAAACCAGTACATGGCTGAATTAATTAATTCAGCGTGAATCAATAATAGTTGCCAGTACTGAGCAGTTGGCCCCCACCGGGAACTGGCCTTCGAATGAAGTGTGATTCTTGATTACCGGAAATCACCGAGCTTTTACTGCAGTGATTTGATGTATGTAAGAAAAAAAGATAATAGAAAAATGTGATTACGAAAAACGACGTAATTTTTCAACAGAAAACAGCAATTCAAACAAGGCAATTTCTCTTTGGACGATAGGGTAGATCAGTGAATCAAACGCCATTTATAATGAAAAAAATTCAAAAAACGGTATCACAACACTCTTTTGATCTAATTGATTTTGTTTGTCTACTAGTCTCTTATACAGTCTCTTTAGCTTTCCCTCTATATAAAATGAGATAGATTAGATTATAAAAATGTTATCTTTATAACAAAAAGAAAAAAAAAATTCAGATAAAGAATGGCTTCCCATTGCAGTTTCTTTTTAAATACATTTTTTTGTTACTATTTTATTTTATATACATTAAATCGTTGTAATATTTTTTTAAAACAAAAAACTCTAAATAAAGGCAATAGTACACGATATAATTATAAACAAGAAAAACCAGGTGTTTGACATGTCCCTTTCATTCGCTATTGAATGAACTCCCTTTGGAGCGGAATCTCAGAGACATCGTTATTATTTTATTTGACGTACATCAAATTGTTATAATATATATGTACATATATATATATATATATTAAAAAAATTCTAAACAATAGCCATGAAAAACAATGAAAATGGTACGTAATATATAATTATAAACAAGAAAAAGAGAGTGTTTGACCTGTCCCTTTCATGCCCCATCGAACGAACTCCCTTCGGGGGCCGCGCCTCGGACTTCAGCGGGCTGCAGGACACTCTGTGTGTATGTATAAAGTAGAATAAACTGCTAAACACACACATTTGCGGGTGCACCTGAAATTGCTTTCCATGGATTTTTGTTGGGGACAGGGGGTGGGTGGTAGAAGTCCCATTGCACCTGCATGGATACCACGTGGGACAATTTTGCTTTCCAAAGATGAAAAATATTTCCACAATGCCATTACATTTACATCTACTAACTAGATTGTAATTTGCAATTTTTTTGCCCTTTCCACAGGATGCTGTGTAACTGTAATCCCTCAATTCAAAAATAAAAGGTCATATTTTTAGTGTAAAAAAAAAAGAAGAAGAAGAAAGAATAGGTGTTAAGGAAATTTTGAAAACAATAATGAGAAAAAAAAAACAAGATATATGTAAAGCTTTGCTTGGTCGTTCATTGAAATTTTAAAAGAGCAGCAAATAAAACGGTGAGTGAAAAATTTTCTTGGAATGGGATAATAATTGGACTCTTTCGATATTAATCAATAAAGCCCGTTGATAACTACTAATTAGAAATGTTTTTGATATTTTTTTCAAGCCATTTAATGAACCATAACCACACTACCTAAATTACCCAATAATAGTCTTGCTAGTTGGATTGTCATTTTTTTTCCTTTTAAAATTTTTACGTTTTTCAAACGGATCATATAATTGTAAATTGTACGATCTTATCTACCAAAAAAAATCTTATTAAACGCACTCATTATACTATAGTTATAATTGAACGAAGAACGTATTTTTCAACCGTCATTTTTATCTACGAAACACACACACACGTTGAATCATTACAATACTTTTTCTTTGAAAACCTAAAAAATAACAATCCAAAGGGGCTAGCTTAGCTTCTCAAATTAGTGAAAAAACCTCTCACAAAAGGGCATTGCAACAAGTTTGGTACATGTACACTCTGAAAAAGACAAAAAGCAGGTCAGCGGTGAGGAAAAAGGTTGACCACTGTAACCACCCCACTATACCCCTTTCATAACTCACAGTTTTTTGTATGAGTGTTTCGATAAATGGACTCTGCGAAGACACTTCAAAAGCCGGCAACTTTTGAAGTGCTCCGCAGCACTTAACCACCCCACTATACGTCCCCACAAAACACATTACTTTATAGCTCTATATAGAAAATGATCAGATTAAATTTTCAAAAGAGACTTTACCTTTTTTTTTTCTTCACAAATCCCATTAAATTAATCTCAATAAAATTACTTAATCACCTCTTAAAAAAATATCATTTCAACATTTTAATTTCATTTTTCTCGCCCGGACTTGAACTTTCTTCTTAATCAAATTTCATTTTTTTTCGGTTTTAGCAATTTAGCAATTTATTATTATTATCTTTGTGACAACTTTTCCGTTTGTTGCAAAAAAAAAAAAGAAAAAAAAAGTAATTTCATGCCCTTTTAATCCTTTTCATTTTCCAATTTTTTCGACTGCATATGCATGCTGAGTAAAACCCCCAAAAATTTTTACTGTCTTCCCAGTTTTCTACTAAAGCATCACTCTTTCTAGTTTCTCCTGAAAACCAAGAAAAACCGGTTTTCTCACCTGAAATCCGGTTTTTAGCCTGAAAACTGTTGCTTTTGGGCTGAGAATCGGATTTTCCTCTTTTTTCCCATTTGATTGTCTTTTTCACTCACTTGGGTCACTGCAAGGTGGATTTTTTTGAACACATCTTGGGCAGAGCAGTTCCTTAAGACAGTAGTGTAAGCAGAAGTTAACTGTCTCTCTTTTTTTTATCATTTTCTTTTTCTTCTATTCCCCTCTGATAATACATTTTTCTTTATCAGGAAAGTTTCAGGCTGTGGTTGTTCTTTTTTTCTTTTTCAATGGTTGATCATTTTTTTTATCATCATGTCTGAAGTTGGTAGTATAAAATGCTGCTCCGGAATTATGCTATAAATGGAAAGTTGTGAAAGATTGGTTGCTATTTAGGTGGATAAGTCGGCTGCTTTTTTCATTTCTTGTGGCATCCTCGAGTGGTTAAACTTTGATCTTTGAAAATATGATGTATTGAGTATTATCTTAATGCAAAGTTTCTAATGAGTTTTGGCTACATTTATTTTCTTGGTTTTCACTTATTGTCCTGTTTTCCGAATCTGTTATGTGATTGTGTTGGTGGACAGTGGTGGTTAGTCCTGTTTGTTTCCCTGTCTTGGTTCTGTTTGCTTTTGTCCTTTCCCAAAGCTCTTGTTGTTTGTCCATCTTTTTTGAAACTTCACTGCTGGAGAACAAACTATTGAGATCTTTTATGGAGAATAACCTTTTTAAGGTTACACTGTGTAATGAAGATCTTTGATGCATGTCTCTAACTAGGTGCTTTCTTGATTCTGGGAGTTAGCAGGAATCTGAGCATATACTATTGTAGGCGCAACAATCTCGGCAAATCATGGAATCTAGGGAAGGAATGAATACGGGGGTGACAGTTATAGCTCCTGAGGCTCCGTCAAGCTATCATGTGGCACCTAGGACTGAAAATTCAACCCCAATTGCAGTAACACCACCGGCACTTCCATCCCCGGCTAGTGCAGTCTTGTTTGGTACCTCTGACAAGAAAAAGAGAGGCAGACCAAGGAAGTACAGTGCTGATGGGCCAAATTCCAGGCCTCTGTCCCCAATGCCAATATCATCTTCTGCTCCAGCTGTAGCTGGCAACTTCTTGGCTGACAAAACATCTGCTGGTGGGAGGCCGTACACTTCAGAGAAAAAGCACAAGCCTAAAGTTGAAAACTTAGGTAATGAATATTTTTCAAACCAGATCCTACACGTTTATCTACTAACTAGCAAAACAGAACCAAAGTTTAAATGAAAAAAATTGTTATTGGGAGCAAAAGTTGATTTTATGTTGTCTGTTAGCGCTTGTAACTGAACATCATGATGTACCAAATCATGAGATGCAGATTGTGGTAGGATGGAGAAACTTGTCCCTGTGCAGTCAAGATTGCGAGAGGTTTTTATTTATTTATTTATTTATTGAATGTTTTCAGATGTTGCCAGTCCTGTGAAGGAAATGCAACAACCATGAATACTAAAATCTGGTTCTGAAGACTGACAGCTTCTGTTGACTCAGTGATAGTTGTTGTTGTGTTTCTTTGCCATCTAGAGGTCAAAATCTGAGCAAGTTGGGAACAATCTGGCTTTTTTAGCTTTATTACCTTGATAGTTACTCTACATGCACTGATTCTTTTAAGAAGGAAAAGTTACTGAGGATTCTTTTAAGGCATTAGAATTTTCCGGGATATTCGTTGTGCACTGGTATTTACAATTCCCTCAGTGGTGAATTATTACCATGTCTTGGTGAAAAATCCTCCTCAGTGATCCTTAGAAAAGTATGAAACGTATTGTTTGACTAAGAGGGCAACTTGTGGAAATTAGAGTCCTTCCAAATGCTGAATTCAATGCTTTTACATTCTAGATGAATTCAATGCACTGGTCTTTCATTCCAGGAATGCTGAGTGAACAAAAGAAGAAAATGCTGGGATGATTAAGTGTCTGTGTCGAATTGTTAGTGTCTCATTATTAGTATTCTCAATACTGCATTTTTTAAAACTTAGCAATCAGACAAAAGATGCCGCTAACTTGCAAGTTTTCTTATTATTTTCTGTGACTCTGTGCTGTGAGAGTTAATGTTATTTGCACTTTGATGTTTAGCTTATGGTTAAGTTTGGAATATACAAATCTCAACATGGCTTCTAGTTCTTGTCTTTGTTTGACTTTGGTTAAATTGATATGTACTCCCAAACATACTAGTTTCTGCTGTCTGAGAACTTCAATCTACATGCCTCGTTGTTTATTCTCGATCTGCTTGATGGTTGGCATGAAATTTGTTTCATACTTTTTCCAAATAAGTTTGAGTAGATTAATTATCAATGTAATTGCAATTTTGTATTTCACATTTTAACTGTTTGAGTTGTCTTGTAGGTGAATGGGTTGCATGTTCCACTGGTGGAAGCTTTTTGCCCCACATGATCACTGTTAATGCTGGGGAGGTACGTTTGATCAGAAATGGAATGAGTTTCTTAGTTGAAACACAAGCTTTTGAAATTTTCCTCATTTTGCTTGTAGAGGACAGTACTTGTCTCTGAAATTCAAAATTGTGCTCATTGAGCCCCTAAATTCAAGTTTTTAAAAGAATTCTCCTATCAGCTTTTATCCTTTTGCCCAGAAAATAATTGCAAACAGAATCTGAAGGTTTTCACACACTCTCCCCATATATGCTGATTTCTAATAAAGCAGTTATAAATGGTACTGCAACAAATTTATTAAAGGCTCTCTTGCCAGAGGTGAATGCAAGAAAGACAGATAGCATCATTACCATTAACCCTTCCTTCATTATCAAATTATGATTCTGATGTTTGAGGACTGCAATTGTCATAAGAAGAATAACTTAAGATTTTAAAAGACTGTACGGGGATCCTTTTCTGTGTATATTCAAGATATACAGTCTGGTATCCCTAAATGGGAAGGTTGAAAATAATATATACAGGCAACAGCCTAAATCCGTTCTGTATGCATGACAATGAGGCACCATGCACCTAATTCATGGGGGCATGAGGCAAGAGAGTTGGAGGCCACCCAAGAATTTAGATATCATTTCACACACTCAATTAAATCTTTTGGTTTATATCCTTGTAGAAATTAGACTTTGCTTCCCCAAGATATTACAAATACTTTCATATTCCCTTAGATTGTTAAATTTTCACTTATACCCTTATAAATATTAGATTTTACCCCCAAAGCTCTTTACGAGATTTTAATGGTGCCCTTGAGTATGTATATATCTTTACTAGTCTTGCTCCCTCAAATCTTAACCTCTTGTCTTGGCCAATGGTGCCTTAGGGGTTTTCATGTGGTTTGTCAGTTAGTACCCTGCATACAATTGTGTACCAACACAGAGAATGTAGTCAATGCAAGTAATTTCCCTCTGTTGATAGAATGTAGTTTATCCTTAGAAGAAAATCTTTAGGCTTCTATGGGGTACTGTTTTGGGGAAACTTTTTCCAGACATACCTTATTAGCGAGGACCGTTTGATGGCAAGCACCTGCAATCCAACAGCTGGGGAGCAATTTATCTGATACACTACCCCCTGCTATTGCATGGTCTGTCAGTCATTGCCCCTCGACAAAAGGGATGCCGTGGGTAAAATTTCCCACCATTTGACACTCTCACCTAGGACCTTACTTCAAATGTGGTAGAACCAAATAATTGTAAGATTGGAATGCACAAGTAACCAAGCTTTTCAGTTTTGTTTACAACATGACATTGGAGCTAAAATTACCTTGGTAATAGAGTACTGCACAGTTACTGTTTGCTTCAAGACGAATAAGATTTGGATTTGACAATTACCTTAATAAGGGAAACTTCTTACATAAGGAGCTCTCCATATCCTCTGTCCATGTGTCTAAATTCATGGGTTGGTGCTTATTATTTGTAACATTTCCATGTTACTCATAGCTGCCATTTGCCCATGGTCAGAAATGTGAAATCCCTAGGTAAGAATTGTCCCCTTGTTAAAAAAAAAAGTTTAAAATTAAGAATTAAAAACAAAAAAGATAATAATTGTCCCCTTGTTGATGCCAAAAAATTGACTCAACCCAATGTAATGTCATTCGAATTATCTCCAACTTGAAAGCCAACCCAATGTAATGTCATTCGACCTATCTCCAACTTGAATATGACCTCTGGATGGGGCGTTATCCCCCGGAGAATCTCGGATACTTAAATTAGTAAACATTTTGGAAAGAGAGAAAATTCTAGAGAGAGAAGCTCTCAAACTAAAGTCATTGAATGAATAAAAAGTGATTGGATGAGAATGAATTGCTAACCTCCTTTGCATAGAGAAATGGGCTTGAGCTATGTCTTTGGATCTGGATATTGATTTGGACTATGGCACAAGTATTTTCAAGAATCAAGATTTGATGAAATTATCTTGGGCTGGAACCTTGTCATTTGATGAAATTTTCAAGGCGCCATGCTTGTGGCACGTAGACTCGATCTAGGCGCAAATCTGTAGGAATTTATTTTAAAAAAAATCTTACTCTAGGGCGACTGACCGAGTCATCTTCAAAACTGATTGGGAATTAATGAGGAAGCAGTTCTAGAGTAGGAATATTATTACATTGGATTACAATCAATGGAGAACACAAATATCAAAGAGTGATTCCTAGAATCTAATCTACTATATTACCTAAGGAAAGTTCATATTTTGCTGCGAACAAGGAGTTATATACATACAAAACTTTCACTTGTTATCCTTGACCTAGTCTAGATCCAAGGCTGGGGGGCGACTGTTAGATCCAAAATTATTCACCTACTAGATTAAGGTCAAATGACAAGGTTTCACCTCATAATAAATTATTTTCATTTGGCTTGGGCCTAGGTCCAAATGAATATCCAGGTCGGAAGACATTAGTCATGCCCATTAAGGCCCAACAGAATTCTTGAGGTTTTTTTTTTGTCTCTCTAGGTTACCATTTGATTTTCATTCAATCAGTTAGGAGCTTCTCCCTTTAAAATTTTCTCTGTCTAAAGCCTTTTATTGGAGCTTGCCCCTACCTAGATCCAAATTAATATGGCCCAAGGCAGTTTTCTCGATTAGTATTTCAAAAAAATTATGATTTTGAGAGTTTCTTTCACTAGAAGTTGCTCACTAAAAACTGATATGAGAGCTTGCCCAAGGAATAAAGCTTCTCCCCATTTTATAGGTCATGTCCATGCTGGGGATAAAGCCTGCCTTTAATATTCAAGCTGGAGATAGGGCGTACTTCTGTGCTGACAATTTTCAGTAATTAATGCTGTACGGTTATGATTTTATTTGCAGTTTTAGAGTTGACCGTTTGAGCAGGAACTTAAGTTCCCTGCCAATATCACCCTACTTGTTTACTGAATAGAATATTAATTGGCATATCGTTTAAATCCTAGCACAGGACTCTTGTTAGATGAATGCTAAGACATTAGTGAAGATGATGAAAATGTCATCTGATACTCTAATCTGTTGTGTCTTGCTGTTAAACATTGTCCTCTTTTATAAATTTGTGTAAGATATCGACAATTGTTTGTAGAGTTTTCTAGAGTGCTTCATTTTAAATAGGTATTGTTTGTTTAGGACCGAGAAGACCATGGTCTAGTGGCTAAGGTTGAGGCCCCAAGAATTAGGTGTCCTGGGTTCTAATTCTCTTGCCGCCTTCCCGCTTCTTAAATCGTTTTCTCCCCTGCTAGAAAAAAAATAAAAAAAGGTGTTGTCAGTCTAGAGTGTTCTGGTCACAAGTTCAATCTCCATGTTATGCAAATGCAACTCCAAATATGATGATTGTACTTCAGTCTCCCAAAGATTTCTAGCATGCTTTCCTTGAAAATAAAAAGGATAAGAATCCATATATCATCAGGAAAGATGAATGTCAATCTAAGGCTTGCTAAAAGATTTACCATAAAGTTTGCCTCATGAAATCCCTCTCCAACCCCAACATAAAGATGAAATAGCTGCAAAACTGTTTATTCTGAAAAGAAATCCATTTAGTTGTTTGCGCTGATGTACAGGATGTTTCAAAGAAGATCGTCTCATTCTGTCAAAATGGGCCCCGTGCTATTTGTGTAATTTCTGCTGTTGGTTTGATTTCAAATGTTACTCTTAGGCAGCCAAATTCTTCTGGGGGTACTCTAACTTATGAGGTATGTCATCTTTTCATAAGTAATAGTATGATGAATTTGATAATTGAAATTCTTACTTTTGCTGCATTTTGCATAGCTGTTCAATTGTGGAGAAATGTTTCTTCTTAATTCTGCTTCATATTTCTATTTCAATATTCTGTAGCATGCCTACAGATGGATATATTAGTGACTTATCCAACTAGATGCTGCTACCAGTTGTTATTGAGAGAACAAACTGAATTAGTTCTTTGTTAGTAGTGAGCTTTCTCAGCACTTCTTCTGGGAAGTCTGTCAATGATTCAGGAACTTGTTGGGATGATAGTTCTGTTATACCAAACTAGTCTGTCTTTCCATTCTGACTGATTGAGGCATGGAACAAAGTCCTTGTTTTTGCAGTTGTTCTCATACCTTTGGTAGTTTTAAGTATAGAATGCTCCAAGAAGTGGAGCTCGGGCTATCGGGAATGAGTTCTCCGGAAGCTTGAAGAAGATGCTTGAAAGTTTTTTTGAGTCTTGTGGACTGAGTATTGTTGCATCGTGAGAGTTGTTAATCTTTAGGATAGTGGAGCTCAGGAACAATTCTAATATGGCTTCACCTCATGATTTTGAACCGTTGACAATTAAAGCCACTTGCGCATGCACTATGTTATAATCTTAATTTAGATATATTCAAAAACCTCATCTCGTCGCCTGGTCTGTTTTTGTAGGGCCGATTTGAAATTCTTTCTTTATCTGGATCCTTCACCCCTACAGAATTAGGGGGTTCTCGAGTTGCCCGAACTGGTGGTATGAGCATTTCTTTGGCAAGTCCCGATGGCCGTGTTGTGGGTGGTACACTTGCCGGACTGCTGGTTGCGGCCAGTCCAGTACAGGTATCTATTTTGCTCTTCTTTCAAAAAATCAGGTTCCTTAAATTCAGTATGTTTTCGTCTCTTTCTAGCTTGCTTACCCTTTTTCACTTTTCTCACCTTCCAACTGCTACTTTTATGGCTTGTAATGACGTTTTCGTCATGAATTGAAGAATGATTTATCGCAGCGATGGTCAATAATTCCCTCAATAAAACTGTACCAGGTTGTTGTTGGCAGTTTCCTACCAAGCAACCACAATGAACTGAAGCCCAAGAAGCATAAATACGAGCACAAATCACTTGCTGCTGCAGGATCTGCTGCCGCTGCTCCTCGTACTAATAACATGCTTGTTGAGCACAGGATCTCTACCGTACAAGGCCTGAACAATGTCATATCTGATAATCAAGGCATGGTTGCATCCTCAACCCTCCAAACAGCTAATTGGGCAAATATTTCTTCCATGGAAGACTCGAGAAAGTCCAACACTGACATCAACATTTCCTTGCAAGGGCAGTAATTTTCATGTCCCCATGGAGGTCCACATCTTGAAGGGGTTTATGATTTCTTAATCCCAGCCTGGACCGGAATTAATCAGCTTTAGTCAATGCAGGATTAATTAACTCATAGTTATGTTAACGTTAATTAGTAAGAAATCCCTAATAACTGACTGATGCTATCTGGGAACTTTGTCACTCAGTTGTAGGAAGTCTGGTACTAATGTTCTTATGCTATTTGTTGCGAGGGCCTTAATCCACAGTATTTATGCACCAGCAGTGTTCAAGCTCATTAATGCTCATTAATGTTCTTATATCTTAGCGGGTGTCTTACAAAAAAAAAAAAAAGGAATTTGGAAATCATTTCAACCTGAAATAGCAGTTTAGTTAGGCGTCAAGTTTAGGAAGATGGAGATTTTGGTGGGCCTGAAGGGAGATTTGATTTGGCCACTAATGGATGGGATAGGGAATAGTACGTGATTTGAGAAGCAAATGACAAAATAATCTTAAATAGAGGTGGCAATATGGATAAATGGTTCATAATTGGTTTTGACTTAATGGATGGTGGATAAAATTTATCCAATCCATTTAGATCCATTTAATAAATGGATCTAAATGGATGGATCTAAATGGATTAAATAAAAACCAATTATCCATTTATAATCCATTTAAATATTTTTGTTACTTTTTTTTTGTATTACCATTTCTTGTAAATTCAAGCCACAAAATACCACGGATGTAAATTCAAACAAAATGAACCTTCATTTCACTAAAAAACTATCTGAAATTATTATTATTATTATTTTTATTTTTATTTTTATTATTATATATGTATATATATATTACATATTACAGAGTAGCCATATATTGCAAACTAGCCCAAACAATAGAAGTCCTGCATAGACCGTACGTAGGGTATCTACAAATTCGGCATCCATGGAATTTAATTATGGCACATATTATCTTCTACTTTTAGCCTTGACTGCATTTAAATTTATCTCAAATTCGGCATTTCCCTCTCAATTAATTAAGTCCAAGAACAGATACCAGTTTTCTGTTGTACTTTAAAAAATAAGAGAGATCTTAGAACAAGTAAAATTTCATAGATATATGATTCAAGTGGATTAATTAACCGATTTGTAAACTTATTAATGTGTTTGTTACCAAAAAGAAAATGATCAAATTTACCCCTCCTAATTCAAAATCCTCTCATGGTCTGATGTTGACCCACTTTCTTAGCAAATGAATTAGATTTCACTAAGTGAAGAATTAAAATAAACTAGTAACTCACCTTATTCAAAAATGCATTTAAATGAATAACTATATTTTTCTTGTTCTAGTTACTAGTTCATGTAAGCAAAATTTTCACACCCCAATTGCAATTTTAGGATGGCTCCTTTTTTAGTCATTTCCTTTCCCTCTCTTTTATTTGGTTTTTAAGTAAATGGATATATATGGTTTTAGTGGATAATCCATATAAATCCATTTAATTTAATGGTTTTACTTTGATCAACCATTTAAAACCAATACTATAAATGGATAATCCATTATCCATTTAATTATGGATTATATGGATGAATAAATGGATTTCAATCCAAATTGCCGCTTCTAATCTTAAACATATGATAGTATGTTTATGAAATTTGACTAACTCAAGCTTTTGTCAGCAAATTATTAAATGATAACCATGCTGATCCAGTTCCTTTGTTTAGCATTTTCCGGTCCCTAAAACAACTCCAAGCTTCGGAGAATCGACTGTTTGTTGGATGAACAAATTGGTGGGCGTGGGGTTTTAAGAAATATCATCATCTTAATGGCGTAGAAAGTACTTCTGATTATAATAATATGTTCGTTAGTGTATAATGATGTATGAAGACTAGGCATCCCTAAGACTAGCTCCTTAGACTGGCTAATGATTGGTTGGTGCTCCCATGTCATTTCATACTAGTTTTTAGTTGAAAGTAACCTAACCACTCAATAATATACTCCCTCCGTCCCATTTTGATAGTCCTGTTTCTTTTTTCACACAGTTTAAGAAAAAGTAGTTAACTTTGTTGGAAAAGTAAATTTAGATTGCTATTTTCCTAAAATACCCTCACATTAAATAGAGTACAACTTTATGGGAACTTGAATTAATGGTAAAAAAAGAATCAACTCTCATTAAATGGGGTAGGTTAATAGCAACAACAACTTGTATTGAATAAGGGTATTTTAGGAAAATGAAAATACAACTACATTCTTCAATTGGAAAGTGGACTGCAATTTGGGACAGACAAAAAAGGAAAACAGGACTATCAAAGTGGGACGGAGGGAGTAGTTGGGATGGTTAATTTAATTTGAGGGACGCAAAAGTTTACTCCGTGGGACTTTGGTTCAAAAAGGTAATTCGATCGGCTAAAATGTAAAAAAGTTTATCATTTCAATTCAGCCACTCAACTGACTAATCAATGTATTTGATTATCTGTGGCTATTTCATCAGATTTTGCTTTTAATCTACAAAATAAACTGAACGTGTGCAACTCATGTATCAAAAATCCAAAGGCAAATATGTCCTTTGAAATTTTCAATCCGAACCTAAAACCTCCAGCAGCAACTACGCTATTCCGCTCATACACTTTTGGCCGCTCAAATATTTTTTTATTTCAATGTAATCACTGAACCCTTAAATCGGTATACTAGTGGTCATTCCATCAAATATTTATGTTAATGCTATTGAGCTCCATGTGCATTTCATGTACCAAAAACGAGGACAATTTTGTAAGGTCAATTTTTTAGAATTTCTTTCCCATCGAGAGGTTTATATTTTAATTAAAAATCTATAATAGTTGCTTTAATATATTCTATTTTATAAATTTTGACAAAAAAATCTATATTATATGCTGAAGCTCTTGCGGAATTATTTCCAAGAACCTTGAAATTAAATGAAAATAATAGATCTAATGACAAAATTTTAATGCAAGCTTGCTAATTTACTATTTTGGTGAATTGGGTGGCCAGTTTGAAAGAAAGATCAGTAAAAATATGTTGTTTGTATGGTTTCATGGCTATTTAGGATTTTTGTTTCACCTATTTGGATGAATTTACCCGTGATCTCTGGCGTGTGCAGTGCACATGCAACTTATTGGATAAAATGGCAACTAATATGCATATTTGTATGTTCAGTGACCATCTTAAGCAAAAAGTAATTGGATGGTTAAAAGTGTACGATTAAAACAATTTAGTGTCACGGTCAATGGACATATTTACCCTTAAGTTTTCATACGTAATTTGCACGTGTTCGGTATATTTTGTAGATTAAGAGCATAGTCCGACGAAATGGTTATGGTGTACCAATTAGTTAGTTGACCGGCTAAATCGAGACGAAAAATAGTTCGATTGAAAAATAATTTGATGACAAAAAATAGACACAGGAAATAATTTAATAGTCGTCGAGATTTGTTGCCCAAAGTTTAGGGTCTAAATTGGCTAAAACAAAATTTTAGAAACTATATTTGTTTTGTGAAAAAAGTTGTAAGACTTGAACAATCCATTTTCCCATTGTTCACTTGAGGATTTTAAATTTAATTACGCGGAAAATAGTTACCTAATTAAAGTGCGTAAAACGAGGGTTAATGCAAGAGTATATTCTTTCTGGCTCTGGCTTCGCTCAAGACGAGTAGTAATTATTCCCAAGCATCTTGTCCGGCTCTCTCCATGATATATTTTAACCTACAATAAACTAAATAAAATACCTTTCACCAAGTGAGTATGAACAAACCAAAAAAAAAAAAAAAAAAGCAACCGTGCGCTAGTATTGAGAATACCGAAAGCATCCAAACAGCCAATAATTTTTCTAGGATCTAAAAAGTCTGTTTCTTTCACTGTCACCTCCCACTTCTATAATCTTCAACACGGCTATATATTTCAATCCCTGAAAATGGTGTTAGTCGGCCTAGCTCCCTCCACATGAACTTTTGCAACTAGCTACTGAAACCAATTTGATCTCGGCCCCCCCCAAAAAAAAAGAAGAAGAGATATTGAGAAATTTCTACATTTAATGGAGCAGATGAAAATTGTTGGAGGGGCTACACCAATAGTTCTTCTCTTGTATCTAACAATCCGAGAATACTTCTTCTTCTCTTCTAAATTTTCCTCATCAATTCCCCAGCATGAGCAACATGATGAAATTTCTTTTGTTTCCAAAATTTTCGTCTCTGGAAAGCCTAGTTATTTAGTAGTATTTTTCACTTTTAACATGATTGTCGTAGCTCTCCTGGTGAGAGTTTCTGCACAGTTTTCTAGCTTGTCTTCATCATCATCTCCAGAAGTTTCAATCTTGTCGTTTATCGATTTTTTGGATGAAGGTCTTAAGAGCACGAAAGACGAAGAGGATGGTGAATACCACGGTGATTTTCTGCCGCGAATAGTGCACGTTGAATACAAAGAAGAGAAGTTCGAAGTTGATCATGATCAAAGTTATGATGATGATGATGATTACTGCTATAACAAGGACGAGATTATTATAAGCAACACAGCTCAAGATCATCAGAGCCACGGCAGAGATGATGAGGAGGAGGAACAGAAGGATGAGATTTTGACGAGGTATGGTTACTGTGACTATGATGAAGAAATGAGTGAAGATGATAGTTATAGTGAATTAGATGATGATGATTTCAACAAGAGGATTGAAGAATTCATAGATGAGAATAACAAGAAATGGAGAGAGGAGTTGCAGAATGAAAAGCTGATCTATGTGGATAGCATCGTCTGCTAATGTATTACAGTACTATATATATATATATATATATGTTGCAGAGACAGGCAGCTCCAGATACAGCATGCACACATCTGCAGCCTAATTTCTTGTACACAATTGGTTAGATTTTTTTTTATATACTTCTTTTTTTTTTTTTGTAATTTTTAGTGTTTGTAAGCCCTACGCTCCCAAGAAATCCATCCCGGATTATGCTTTTCCCATTTTTTTCCCCCTCTTCTCTTTTAGGTTAGAGAGTTTATTTTCTATTTGTCTTCCCCCATGTATGCATGTAATATGATCATTTCATGAACTGTTCTGCATCTCTCTAGTACTGATCTATGGTTTTTCTAACGGCAAACTTTACCTTTTTTTGGATCTGACTATTTTGATATCAGAAAATATGCTTGCCAAATTTCTTCAGGGCTGAGGAGGACATCAACTTGAGTTCCCATTGTATTCGGAAATAGAAATTAAATACATTATAATTAAAGTTCAGGAGCCAAGTTTTCCAAGTTTTCATTCAGTTAGTAATTAAATTCTTTTGTGCGCACTGAACT